AACTTTAACCTTTATTAAAACTCTTGTTTCCATGGAATTTGGCGTAAGCTGTCCTAGTGTCCCGCTAGGAGGGCAAAGGGGACTTATAAGCTGACTAGTCGCAATACAGCCCAGATAACTTTGTTAAGGCCGTGGCTTTTTCATGACCAACTCTACGTGCACCAAAACTGATAAAACCCACCAAAATCGTTAAAACAATGAGCCTTCAACTAAAACTGTGTGCCCCTTGCATTACAGTGAGGTGTGATTGTTCCGGGCTGGCATCCCACATGCGCCGTCTTCCACTGTGGTGTAAGGTGTGACTAGCCCTGCCCGTGATTGTTCGGTAGGAAATCGGCTGAACCGCCTTCGTTAGGCGTTGTCAAGCCTCATTTATTCAACTACACATACGTGCTACCTAGTAATGGTGGTGGTTAATGCTCTGTCGTCCGTTTGTTTAGAAAACTCCGCTCCTACTCCCCGTCTGACCCGGTGAAACAGTGGGAGAAACCCATCTCCCTGTCTGCACGCTGCATACAGACGGAGGCCTACAACCGTCTCCTCGAAATCCCAGTGGCCGTGGAGCACTGCGCTCTAGACCGCACATGGCCGGTCACCTCCCTGAGTTTCCACCCTGAGGACGACAGTGTCATGGAGGCGGGAGGGGATGACCCGTCCGAAGGGAGCCCAGGACCCTCTGATCTCCTGCTTCTTCGCATCTTCCTTCTGCTTCACAGACAATTCCTTGCTACCGAGGACGAGGGCGACCTTGATCTGCCCGTTGTGGGTCCGTCCGGTGACCTGCCTTCTGAGGCAACAACCGTACGGAAGGCGGAGTCCCTGTCTTCGTTGTCTTCTTCAAACTCCGCGGACAAGTTGCCTGAAGGTGGGAAGAGCGTTTTTCGCCCTCTTTTATTTACGGTCTTAGAAAAGCCTTTCTAGGCAGGCCGGGATGTCCCTACAATCTTCACCCTGATATGTTTATTTTGACACTTTTGACTCTAACACGTACTGTGACAGTTTGCCTGTTGCAAGCTGTGACGTCCTTCCCGGTAACTGGCGCAAGAGATTATTGTTAGTGAGACAGGACTTGTAGGATCTGGGTATTAGTTGTACTCAGATCACTACAATCACCAGATCGAATCGCGGGTTGTAGGAAAAAGGAAGAAATCCCCGAAATGAGGGTTTTATTGTGCACAGAACCCCAAGTTGCTATCCCAGGCAGCAGTGACCACTAGCGAGGCCAGGGCTAGTCTTGATTGTGTCCAGTCAAGCCTGAGAGAGAGAGAGAGGTGGCAACTGCTTTTATATGATTGTGAGGCAAGTTCAAGTGGTGTGCCATCGGTGTGTTGCATTTGTCTGAGGAGGTGTCTTGTTTGGTGACCCTCGGCTGCATCGGACGAGGGGTGGTGTGTTACAGTTGTCCTCTGGGCAGCCGTGACTATTTGGACGCGTGCGCGCGTGTGTGCG